CCGCGGGCCTGGCGTGGGTGCCTCTCCTGTGGGACAGCTTCCTCAGGGCGACTCCAGGGCTAGCCAGGCCCTTTCCCGCTTTGCGGCAGCTGGGAAGTTAGAAAACTTTTGGTTTTCTTTTTTTTTTTTAACTTTCCTTGCATTGATTTGAAAAGATCTGCCTTCTCCTACTGTCCTCACTTGGCTTCTAAGATTCCTCTCCTGATTTTTTCCTTTAATCCTCATCCCAGGATATGTTTTTATGGATTTGAGAGAGAGAGAGAGAGAGAGAGAGAGAGAGAGAAGGGGAGGAAGAGAGACAAATATTGATTAGAGAGAAAGAGAGAGAGAGAGAGAGAGAGAGAAAGAAAAAGAAAGAAAGAAAGAGAGAGAGAAAGAAAGAGAAAGAGACATCAATTGGTTGCCTCCCAGGATTGACCCTGCAACCCAGGTATGTGCCCTGACTGGGAATCGACCCTGCAACGAACCGGCAACCTTTCCTAGGACTGGGGGCTCTCCTGGTTTTTCTGACACAGCCTTCCTCAGTTGCCTTTGCAGCCCCTCCATTCTACCCACCACAGGCAGCTCTGGGTGACTTCACCCAGAGGTTGGTTACCATTTTTTAATGGTGATTCCCACTAACTATGGCTCCAACCAAGCCTCTTTCCTGAGCTCAGATCTGTTCCTCGTGTTCTTCCTGTCGGTGAAGGAGGTCGCAGGTCTCTGTCCCCAGTGGCTGCAGGGTCCTGGTATGCGTCTGAGATCAGACTGGGTGGTGCTGAGGCCAGGATCCTAGTCTCAAGCAGCTCTGTTTCCCAAGATGGCGTGGTCGCTGTGCCTGGGCTGGCCGCCTAGGAGTGTCCGCGCCGGGAGCTGGACTCCGCCGCCTAAGACTGCCCGGTTTAGCAGCCCCTTAGAAGACCTGCAGAATCTAGCTGTCCCTAGCTCATACACACACACCACTCACGTCCACACACTCCTCTATCACTTCCTTGCACTCTCACACTCTCTCCCTCCCTACCTTCCTGCTGGTCGCCATTTTTTTCTCCTGGTTACCATTTTTTAATGGTGATTCCCACTAACTATGGCTCCAACCAAGCCTCTTTCCTGAGCTCAGATCTGTTCCTCGTGTTCTTCCTGTCTCGGTGAAGGACGTCACCATTCACGAGGCCCAGTTGCACCTGGAATTCCTCTAATGCTTGCAGCAGACACTTGCTGGGAATTTCCTCTCTTCTAGCTGGTATGCTAGGTGCGCTGTTGGCAAGGTGCAGAAATGACAAGAGAACCGTCAACAGGATACTGGCTTAAGTGCTCTGACTTCCCACCTCGCTCTCCCTCACTTGGTGTAGACGCCAAGCCCAGTTATTCTCCTAATATCCATGGAATCTGGCCCTTCCCTCCTGTTCTCACAGCCACCACTTGAGTTCACAGTTTCTTGCCTGTGCTTTCAGGATCACTTCCTCCGTGGACCCTCGGCCTCTGTCCTTGCCCTCCTCGAATCAGTGCTTACTACACAGCCGCCCTGTGTGACATCCCGTGACCACTCCTCCTCAGGCACAGGACACAGACCTTTACCGTGTGCCCCTTCCTCCCACCGTCCCTTGCGCTCTGGTCATGACAGTGGTTTGGGCTCAGGCTTTGGAATCACGTGCATGTGGGTGTGCACATGTTTTGCTGTGCCTTTTACTAGCTGTGCCCCCTTGGACAAATTGTGTTTTATTTAAACCAGTGGTTCCCAACTTGGTTTTGGCCATGCCCCACCTAAGCATCTCTAAAATCCTGATGTCCCTCCATGACATATAATTCTTATTCAAAAAGTGAACTCCTATTCATGTGGAGGAAGCCTAAAAGGCCATTAACTTGGCCTAAACAAGCTTCCAAAGAACATGACCTCCATGAAAGAGAAAAATCAAAGAACGAAAGGACAGTTGAAGTCCTGAGGAAGAAATCACTAAGAAATTGTTAAGAAAATAATATGAAGTGACAAAAAATAGCAAATAAAGTTTCAAAACATAATAGAGAACTAAAATGCATAAATATGTCACAGTATATTAATAAGACTGTATATGAGGCCCGTAGAACCATAAGAAATGCAAAAAATTCACCGTTAATAACTCATTCTCGAATTGCTCCCCTTAACGATCAAATTGCCCCCCTGTGGGTCATGTGCCCCATTGGGAACCACTCATTTCAACCTTGCTCTGAGACTCAGTTTCCTTATTTGAAAAATGGGGAAATTCTCTCTTCCTAGCTGAGAGGATAAGGTGAGATGATGTATGTAAGCATTAGCACAGTTCTTGGAATGTAGGCAGAGTTCAGTGATTGTAAACTTTTGTTGTCACAATGAATTCTCTGCATCCCGTGTTCTTTCCTGCCCTGCCGTTGTGCACGCTGCTGCTGCTGCCATACATTCCCCTGCTCCCTCTCCTGGGGAGCTGCCGCTTGTCCTTCAACCACCACTTCCACCGGCCTCATCTCCAGAGTAAGCTTAGTTGCCCTTTTGTGTCCCATTGTATTTTGTTACGTCCCTTAATGTGCTTAACATTTTATATGATCATGTGTAACCAGGTTGGTAGCCCTGACAGTGAGCACGGTGCTTGACCCAGGCTGGTGTTCAGTAGCTGGTTATTGAATGTCTGAATGGTCTTTTTTTGTTGTTGTTAATCCTCACCCGAGGATACTTTCCATTGGTTCTTAGGGAGAGAGAGGGAAAGACAGAGAGAAACACTGATGTGAGAGAAACACATCGATTGGTTGCCTCCTGCACGTGCCCCGACCAGGGCCCAGGCTGGGGAGGAGCCTATAACCGAGGTATGTGCCCTTGACTGGAATGGAACCTGGGACCCTTTGGTCCACAGGCTGACACTCTATCCCAGTGATGGCGAACCTTTTGAGCTCGGCATGTCAGCATTTTGAAAAACCCTAACTTAACTCTGGTGCCGTGTCACATATAGAAATTTTTTGATATTTGCAACCATAGTAAAACAAAGATGTATATTTTTGATATTTATTTTATATATTTAAATGCTATTTAACAAAAATCAACCAAAAAAATGAGTTCGCGTGTCACCTCTGGCATGCGTGTCATAGGTTTGCCATCACTGCTCTATCCACTAAGCCAAACTGGCTAGGGCTAAATGGTCTTAATTGATACTCCCTCGTACTGGGTTTGTCTTCTGGAACAATGTGAAATAAGGCCTTTAGGAATGTGAATTGTACAAAATAGATCCAGAGACATGGAAGCATGCAATGGACTAACGAATCTCAGAGGGAAGGGGGAGGGCAGGAAGAGATTAACCAAAGATATTATATGCATATATGCATAACCCATGAACATAGACATTAATGCTGTGAAGGCCTGGGGTGGGGACGAGAGCGGGGAGGAGGGGTCAGTGGGGGGGAAAAGAGGGATATTTGTAATACTTTCAACAATAAAAAAAATTTTAAAGAAGTGAATTGTAATAACAACAACAACTGACAATTACTGAGATCTTAATATATTTTAAGTATTTTATATGTAGTGAATCATATCTCTCTCAACCCTTTGAGATAGATATTGTTATTATCCCCATTTTACAGATGAGGAAACTGAGGCAACTTGCCAGGTGGTAAGTGGTAGAGCTGAGATTAAATCCAAGAATGTTCTAAGGCCTGTTCTCATTGCCACTACATAATCAACTCTGTGTCTTCTGCTTCTCCCCAAAGCCTTCTCCAGTAATTTACTCCCCCCTGTGGTGAACTTTCTTTAAAATTGTGCAAGCAGGTCGGAAGGAATAAATATGCAGGAACTGTAATCGTGCATGTGCGTGTGGGTGCGCGTGTGCGTGTGTGTGCGCGCGCGTGTGGGTGCGCGTGCGCGTGTGGGTGCTTTGTTAGTGTTCAGATGTACAAACTGTTGGCCATGCTGACAAATCAACAGCATTAGGAAGGTAACCGATGCCCAGGGGTGGTGGGTATATGTGCAATGAATGGAGGCTTAGTTTAGAGTAGAGAAGCCTGGGGTGCTCTCTAGGTCCAAAGGGCAGAACAGGCAAATGAGAGGAAACTTCTTAGGAAGTGATTTTTGGCTTAATATGGGCAAGACCTTTTCATAGTTAATCCTATATAATAAAAAGCTAATATGCAAATTGTCCCCTCGACCGGGAATTCAAGCAGGGGGCAGGGCCGGCTGGCCAACCGCCCATGGTCCCTCCCCCCAGGCAGCCCAGCCTGATTGGCCCTGATCAGGGTGGGCTGGCTGGACCCCACCTGTGCACGAATTTGTGCACTGGGCCTCTAGTCCTATATACTATAATAAAAGCCTAATATGCTAAGTGTCCAACTGTTCGTTCAACCGTTCGACCAGTTGCTATGACGCGCACTGACCACCAGCGGGCAGACGCTCCAACTGGTAGATTAGCTTGCTGCTGGGGTCCGGCCAATCAGGACTGGGCGAGACGGGCCGGACTCGCCCTGGAGCCCTCCCGCGGTCCCTCCCCAGCCCCGATCGTGCACCAGTGGGGTCCCTTGGCCTGGCTTGCACCCTCTTGCAATCCAGGACCCCTCAGGGGATGTTGGACTGCCAGTTTTGGCTCGATCCCCGCAGGCCAGGCTGAGTGATCCCACCAGTGCACGAATCTGTACACTGGGCCTCTAGTCTTCTCTATATATAAAAGCCTAAATGACTGTTCCGCTGGTAGCTATGACACGCTCTGACCACCAGGGGGCAGATGCTCAATGCACAGGCATGGAAACATGGAACAGACTGATGAATCTCAGAGGGAATGGGGTGGGGGGAGGGTGGGAAGAGATTAACCAAAGATCTTATATGCATACTAGAGGCATATTACTCCTAATATTTTATAAGAAGTATCTCATTTCATCCTCAACCTTTTGATGTAGATTATCATGAGTTTCCATTATACACAGGAGGTGAAGGGCCTTGCCTAATTTGCCTAAGGTCATACAGCCGGTAAGGAGAGAGCTGAATTCGGGAGTTTCTGGCCCTGAAGCCGGTCCTTGGACCACTGTGCTGTCTGTCACTTACAGCATAGAGAGGAAGATTTTGGCATGGGAGGAGTAGTTAGACCAAAGGTCTTACATGTTTTTTGACTCTGAGATTCCTTGGCTCTATGTTAGTGGTTTATAGCAGACAGAGCTCCTACAGTTTATATACCTTATTTTGGGCTTGGTCAGAAAATGCAGAGGAGGGAGGAGGCATGGCTCTCATAAGTTTGTGGTTAACAGGGAGGGGAACATATTCCCATGAACAAAGTAATATTAGGAGTAATATGCCTATGAACACATGAAAACTGTCCTTACTGCTGAGGAGGTTATGTGTTCATGGGAGTAGCTGAGGTTAGCCAGGGAGGGCTGCCTGGAGGAGGTACATGAGCCACTTTTTTTTTTCTAGATTCTAGGATTGGCAGGAGATGGATGAGTGCAATTGGATGACCCCTCCCCTGCGATTGTTATGGCCCATAGAGGGTCTCGGGCCTGGTGGCAAGTAGATCTCATCACATTTCATCTGACCTGTTGCTAAGTGCTACAGGAGTACATTACTGATGGTTCTGAAGTCATGTAGGCTGCTGTGATGGACAGTCTCAGACTTGGAAGGAAATGTTAGGACATGTGCCATGTACTTGCAGTAGCAGATCTCAGGCTGCTATCTTAGACCTCTCATCTTCCCTGTTACCCCTGGAGTCCAGGTTATCATGATCTCTCACCTACACTAGCTCACCGTTTCTTGTTAATCTCTCTGCAGCCACTTGGATTTTCTCCCTTCTGATCTGGCCTCCATTCCAGTCTGCATTTCCAGTGGCTGCCAGAGTGATCTTTTCAAAAGGTATATCTAAAAAAACGTTTCCTGGCTTTCTTATTATGAAGGCCAAATTCTCGGCATGGCATGGCTTCCACTCATGTCCCCAGCAGCGTTGGCAGCCACAATGCTTCTTGCTTGGTGTGTTTCCTGTTGCAGGGCCTTTGCACGCGCTGCTGGTTCTGTGGGAACACCTTTTCCACTCTGTCCAGTGAATACGTACCTTCAGTCCTCAGCATAGGCTAACGTCAGGTTCATTTCTTCCAAAGCTCGATCTCGTTTATAATTGTACATTTATCTGTGACTTTGGGATGTTTGTCATCCTCCTTCTTGAGGCCATAGACAAGGGAAGCAGCAGCAGAACGGCTTTTCTCACCATTACATCTCTAGTGCACAGCCATAAGTAAACGCAGCTCCCTGCATAGTGCTCGAATGAGTAAATGGTCTCTGGTAGCCATTAAATAAATATGGTTTCTCTCCTGCCACCTCCCTCAATCCGATAGTTCCTGCTCTTTTGGCCCTGTCCCTGCCCACTCTTTTCTGGAGCTAGGCAAAGTGAGGAAAGAAGGTAGAATATAACCCACACTTTTTAAAAAATTTTCTGGCAGGTTCGTTTGACAGTTAAGTGATCCATGAGTTCAGATTTCCAGGACCTTTCTGACCTTTAAATAGCTTAACGTGGATAACTATGTCCATAGCTAATTAGGCACTTCACTACAAGGACAGATTGCATCTGCTGTGCTTTCTAGAGGTGGGATGTGTCCAGGGGTGGGTACCATTTCTCAGATGCAGGATTTCTCTGAGTAGCTGACACAAGGCCTGTATAGATCACCGCCTGCTGGAGTGACTAATTCTCAGCCTGATGTTCAGGCCGCCCTTGGTTCCTCCCTCCCAGAGATCTTCCCTCTCCCTCTCCTCCCAACCCCGAGGATTAGATAAGCCCCAGACAGTGGCCATGTGCGCTGCTCTTGGTCTTTCTGGCTCTGCCTTTGCAGAGTCCGTGTGTGTCGAGTCTGGAGCGCTAGGTCCACAAGGCGTCCTTGGGCTCCTGTGGCAGAGGCCAGATTCCCGCGGGGCCCATGCCTGCGGAGGGAGAAGATGCTGCTTCATCAGCCTGCCTTCCTGCCATGCTGCTCCGTGGTGCCCTGGGAGCGAGAGGTGGCAGAGCCTGCTCCCTGTGCGTCCTGAGGCCAGACACCTCTCTTGTCCATCCCTCAGCCGTCAGGCTGCAGAGGGGGCCTTGGCAATGGCCCCTCATGGATCCCATGCCGTGGATCAGGGTCCCTCTCTGGGAATCTTGGAGCAGATTCAGAAGGACCAGGCCTGGCCGTTTCCTGGCATGGCATGCGGTGCAGGCTGCTCCCAGCCCCGTGCGCACAGCTTTTCCTGCTCCCAGGGGTGTCCTGCTCACTCCTCTGGGACAGTGGCAGCCGCTGGAGAGGTCAGGACCTGCTCCTCAGACTGCTGTTGGTTGCAGCTGTGGCTGGCGCCTCCTCGGTGGGGGACACAGTCAGGGCTGTGGCAACTTCTCTACAGGGCGGCTTGTCTCTGTTATTGGGCGTCAGCGTAGGTGCTGCCGTCCGGGAGGATGGCCTGGCCGTGGGGTCCTGAGGTGGTTACAGGGACGGGAAAGGAGCAGTTCCAGAATGGCACCAGCTTGTCCGTTGGAGAATTTGGCACCGTCCTGCCCCCAAAGCTAGAAACCGTGGATTCCCGTTGGACTCCTTTCCCCCTCTTTCCTCTCATCCTAGTCCTGCTAACATCCACGCAGCCCTCACATCTGTTCCTTCCTCTCCATTCCCACTGCTTCTGCCCTCGTTCAGGCCTCTCACCTGGATGGCAGCGCCTCAGTGGTTTCTGGAGCCCAGTCTTCTTTCTCTAATCCAGCCCTGCCACTCCTGCCGGGGCTGTCATCCTAAAGAAAGGCCACCGTGTCACTTTCTGTCACTGAAGCCCGCAGGGACCCTGCCCCCTTTGCTACGGGGCAGAGTCAAGGCTCTTATACACGGTCTACCCAGCTTTCCACCTCTGCCCCCGCCGCACCAGAACCAGTCTGCGCGTGGTGCTCCCGCGCCTGGCATAGCTAGCTCTCCACTCTCCTCTCCAGTGCTCAGAGCAGGCGTGCTTTCCCTCCGCCGGGCACTGCTATTGAGGTTGAGTGCGCTACCTTCACTAGAGGGTGAGCTCCCCGAGGCACTGTTGGGTGTAAACAGGGACCTTGTTGAGACGGTGTGACCATGGGGGGTTGCTGGTACTGGCGGGTGTGTGTGTGTGCTGTTGGTTATTTTGATCACTAGGGTTTTCCAGCCGGGGCTACTGTGCTATTCGTTCTTTCTCCATTTGAGGGGTAGGAAGCCAACCTCTTGAGTTGGTTCTCAGATCTTTTGTGGTCACCGAGGGTTCAGCAAGCCTGGGGGAGATGTGTCTCAGGAAACTTTCCCGGGCACAGAGCCGGGAGGCCCGGGTTCGCCCAGCGTCTGGCACATTCCCAGCGCGGTTGGCTTGCAGGGTCTGGTTGGACCTAGGGGCCCCATGACGCAGCTCTGACGGTCTCATCTAAGCTGGGCACTCATTCTCTCTTTGCGGGGGTCTCTGGGGTCTAGGCCTGGAGCCCAGACCAGCCATGGCTGGAAGACCCATCCGCATAGGAGACCAGCTGGTCCTGGAGGAAGACTATGATGAGACCTACATCCCCAGTGAGCAAGGTAAGAGGCCTGGCATGTGCTGCAATAGTTCTTCCAGGGCAGGAGTCAGCTCTGACTTAATGTCATTCTTCTGAGGCAAAGATGGTATATGCACAGGGCTGCTCAGTCTGTTTGGCTTAGAATAGGGTTGGCAAACTATAGCCCATGGGCCTAATCTGGTCTGTTGCTTGCTTTTTAAAATTTTTTTTTTTTAATTTAAAGATATTTTTATTGATTTTAGAGAGAGTCACACAGTTCTACTCAGTGAACTGGGAATCCATGCCCAGTGTCCCCTCTCATCCATGCCCATGGTGACTGCACAGGAGGCACTCAAAACCGGCTGTGAAACCAGAGGGAGAGGGAGGGAGAGGGAGGGAGAGGGAGAGAGAGGGAGAGAGAGGGAGAGGGAGAAAGAGAGAGAGAGAGAGGGAGAGGGAGAAAGAGAGAGAGAGAGAGGGAGAGGGAGAAAGAGAGAGAGAGAGAGGCGGGGAGAGAAAATCAATGATGAGCACGACTGGCCTGGCTCAGTGTTGAGCGTCGACCTATGAACTAGGATATCAAAGTTTGATTCCCGGTCAGGGCATATGCCCTAGTTGCGGGCTCGGTCCCCAGTGTGGGGCGTGCAGGAGACAGCCAGTAAGTGATTCTCTCTTATCATTGATGTTTCTGTCTCTTTCTCCCTTTCCTTTCCTCTCTGAAATCAATAAAACAAAAAAACAAAAAACACAAAAAATCTCCTTTAAAAAAAAAGAAATATCAATGATGAGAGAGAATCTTTGATCGGCTGCTTCCTGCACTTTCTGCACACCCCGTACTGGGGATCATGCCCTGACCAGGAACTGAACCATGACCTCCTGGTTCATAGGTCGATGCTTAACCACTGAGCCATGCTGGCTGGGCCTGTTGCTTGTCCATTTATAATCTGTGGCTGCTTTCATGCTGCAAGGGCATTGTTGAGAAGTTGTGACAGAAAGCATGTGACCCACAAGCCTAAAATATTCACCGTCTGACCCTTTACAGAAAAAGTGTGCCAACCTTGGATTAGACCAGTGCTTAGTTTTAAATGAAAATACAGTAGGGGATATTATGAAATGCAGTGTGTGCTGAGGCCAGGGAAACCCAATTTCTTAAGAACAAACTAAAGCCGTGTTTTTCTTTAAACAACAACAATAATATTAATATTGATGAAAACAAAATTCTACTATGCGCTATTCTCTGTAGTAAGAACTCTCTATATACTTGCTCATAGTAAGTCATGAGTTAGGAACTTTTATTATTCCCATTTTAAAGTTGAAGAAGCCAAGTCACAGAAAGGTTAAGTGACTTCTCTGCAGTCACACAGTTCTCCTCAGTGAACTGGGAATCCATGCCCAGTGTCCCCTCTCGTCCATGCCGTGGTGACTGCACAGGAGGCACTCAAAACCGGCTGTGAAACCAGTGACTCAAGTGGCCCCTTGGCTCCCGCATTCCAGCTGGGCCTTTGAGAAAGTTCTTTTGTTTCCTAGTCCCCAGGTATGTCACCCTCCAAACTCTCCACCGAGGTGACCCCTGTTGTGATGCCTCTCTGGCCAGGGTCGGTATCAGCTCAAGCACTGATGCCCCTGGAGCATTGATTTGTTCTTCCTGGGGCTCTGGTGACGTGCTCCGTGGTTACCTCATGTACCTTTTTTTTCTTCTCCGTGAGACAGCCCCTAACTCAGTACCTGTGCCTCCTGTATTCCTCCAGATCTCTGGCAAGAGAGCATTTCTAAATGTTTGAAAAAAATTTTTTTAAAATTTGATTTTGAGAGAGAGGGAAGGAGGGAGGGAAGGAGGGAGGGAGGGAGGGAGGGAGAGAGAGAGAGAGAGAGAGAAACATTGATTGTGAGAGAGAAACATCGATTGGTTGACTCCTTCACATGCCCTGACCATCCGACCAGAGTGACCCCGCAACCTAGGCCTGGGCCCTGACTGGGAATCAAGCTGCCACCTTGATGCATGGGATGTCACTCCAGCCCGCTGAGCCACACCAGCTAGGGCTCTAAATTCTTGATTCCAAAAGAGTACAACAGAAGTGTTAGCGTTCACAGCATAACGCACAATTGAAGAGTCACCTTCCTTCACGGGAGAGGCTCAGTGAGTGGGAAGAGGCTGCCTGCTCATCATCCCGCCGCCTCGGCTCCGGCCTATGCTCCCGTGACTCTGGGGCACCTCTCCCCGCGGTGCTTCTCCCTACCCCACAGCACCTCTCCCTACAGCACCTCTCCCCACAGCACCTCTCCCTACAGCACCTCTCCCCACAGCACCTCTCCCTACAGCACCTCTCCCCACAGCACCTCTCCCTACAGCACCTCTCCCCACAGCACCTCTCCCTACAGCACCTCTCCCCACAGCACCTCTCCCTACAGCACCTCTCCCCACAGCACCTCTCCCTACAGCACCTCTCCCCACAGCACCTCTCCCTACAGCACCTCTCCCCACAGCACCTCTCCCTACAGCACCTCTCCCCACAGCATCTCTCCCCGAGGCACCTCTCCCTGCGGCACCTCTCCCCGAGGCACCTCTCCCTGCGGCACCTCTCCCCGCAACACCTCTCCCCGCAGCACCTCTCCCCAAGGCACCTCTCCCCGCAACACCTCTCCCCGCAACACCTCTCCCCAAGGCACCTCTCCCCAAGGCACCTGCCACCTACTTGTACCCCGTCGTGTATTGGTCAGGTCTCCAAGGGGCTCATTCGCTGGTTTTTTCAGCCCAGGCCTGTGTGAGTGGCGAGGACTTTTGCATTAAGGTTTTGCAGGTTTGGGAGAGCTTGTGTCCTGGGAAGGCTGCCCTCGTTCAGGACGGTCTGGCTGTTCTTCTTGAGCCCACACTGAAGTCCTGGTCTTATTTTCTTTGCCTTTAACGTGGCTTCAGATTATATTCTTGGAGTATGGTAACAGCATGCTGGATTCAGATGTACCCTTTATAACTGTAACTTAAGAAAATCACACATATTTATTATGTAGAACTAATACTGCTCCCTGAAGGGAATTGGAAAGTGAAGGCAGAGTGGAAAAGTTCGGGGAGAAACCCTGCTTTTCCTTTCCTCTGACCTCCATGCTTCCGACACCAGACGTGTGGGGTTTCCCCTCCCAGCCAGCTCCCTGGCAGCGGGATGTCCCGCTGTTCCGTCCAGTCCTGACACTGTCTGCCTGGGGTTAGGGTCAGCCCCACAGGTCAAGGCTCAGTCCCACAAGACTGCCCCCGACCTCAGACACTAATCCAAAGTCCCCCGGGGTCCCCGGTTCGGTGGGTGTGTCAGCTGTACACCCACCACAGTTCCCACCACCCTGTCCTCAGGTTTAATGACTTGCCAGAACAGGTCACAGAACTCAGGGAAACACTTATGTGTGCAGTTTGTTATATAATAAAGGGTAGGATAAAGGGTGTGGTGGACAGCCGGATGAAGAGAGACACGGAGAGCTCTGGGAGGGTCCCCAGTGCGGGAGCGCTGTCCCGTGGAGTTGGGGTGTGCTGTCTTCCTGGCGCGTGGGTGGTTCCTGGGGGCTCTGGCTGGGGATTTTTATGGAGCCTTCATCATGTAGACATGATCCATGAACTCATGTCCAGTCCCTCTCCCCTCTCTGGAGAGTGGGGGTGAGCCTCAGAGTTCCAAGCTTCTAATCATGGCTTGGTCTCTGGTGACCAGCCCCATCCAGGGCCACTAGAGTCTAGCCAGAGTCTCCTCATTGGGCAGAAGAGCTCCTAGGACTTGGGAGATTGCAAGGGTTTTAGAAGCTGTTTTAGAAGCTGTTTCAGGACCTGGGGGCAGAGACCAGCATATATATTTCTTATTATTTCACAGGTGATTGTGACTTGCTTTTCTTTTCACCCACCTCTCCACCTCTCTTACTTTTCTACCCTCCTGCTTCTCCTTGCAGAAATCTTTGAATTTGCCAGAGAGATAGGTATTGATCCCATCAAGGAGCCGGAACTGATGTGGCTGGCCCGGGAGGGCATTGTGGCCCCACTGCCTCAGGAGTGGAAGCCATGGTAAGTCTGCACGCTGTGGCCAGGACGTGCCGCCAGAGGCAGAGGAGCCTGGCATTGGAGGTCAGCGCTCACCAGCTGCCTTCCATAGCCTGTCCTGCCCCGAGGACAGGGGAAGCAATGGGCCGCTCCTCCGCTGGGCAGCCTGATGCCAGGGGCCGGGGGCATAGGCTGACCTGATGGTCCCATTTGTAGAATAACCGTTTCTGAGCTGTGGCCCTGTCAGCTCCTTGAGTCCAGCGTTGTGTGGGTACACTCGGCGTGTCTGTTGCTCCTTGCAGACCGACGTGGAGACCCGTCAGCATGTCCACGTGGGTGCTAATGCTGCGAGGTCTGCGCTGAGGCTCAGGCCGGCAGGGGTTTCACCTCCCTTGGCAGCCCATCCCCACATTTGAGTGGTCTCTTCAGGAACACGCTCGTGTTCACGGGATCGTTCATATTTTCGGGTGCAGCTCTTTGGATAGTGAGGAGCAGAGATCAGTCAGGATGTCTTGGGGGAGCAGGTGGAGGGTGTGGAAACAGACTGGCCGCTCTCTTGAGGCTGCGCCCTCCCCGCTCTCTGCCGACCTGTTTCTGCTCTGCAGGTCCCGTCTGCCCTGCAGTGCACAGGGCTCCCCCCAGGCTGCCTCCCCAAGTGGGTGCCCTACCTTTACTTCCTGCGGCAGCGCGGGATTGCCCTACGCTTGTCCCGCACTGTCCCCAGGTGGCTGAGGGGTCCTCGCTGATGCTGGGCTTGTGTGAGGGTTAGTCATTCTATTCTTTTTCTTTTTTTTAATATATTTTTTATTGATTTCAGAGAGGAAGAGAGAGGGAGAGAGAGATAGAAACATCAGTGATGAGAGAGAATCATGGATCGGCTGCCTCCTGCATGCCCCCTACTGCGGGCCGAGCCACAACCTGGGTATGTGCCCTTGGCCGGAATCGAGCCCAGGACCCTTCAGTCCGCAGGACCACGCTCTATCCCCTGAGCCACACCAGCCAGGGCCGTCCTGTTCTTATCCATCCGTTTAATGTGTGGGCTGTGCTTCAGAAGGAGTGCAGTGGCAGCCTCGCTCATCTCCGCTGAGGAATCGGAACCCTTAGCTTCTTACCTGGCAGGCTCCTATCCTCTGGATCTTTTTAGTGGCCTTTCCTTTAACTTCTCCAGCTTCCTGACATCTCTCTTGTAGTTAGTCCTTCAGCACCGCACACTGTATTCCAGGAGCTGGGGACTCATGGTCGTGTTTGTAGAATAACGGTTTCTGTTTTGTTTCCAATATCCACCCTGATATTCGCATTTGCCTTATCTAATAGCTTCTATCTTCTTTTTCTCTCTGTTTTTTAACTTTGTATGTATCTATGTTTTGCTTTTGGATATTTTTTTTAATGAAAAGCTATAACAGCACCTTCATGTACACATATGTAATAAATAAATGGCTGCAGCGATGTTGAAGAAAGGTGGATGGAAGGAAGGAAACTGACACTGTTTAAGGGCCAGCTGTGTGCCAGCTGTGTGCCAGCTGCCTTCACACACCTGCTAGAGTTGGTAGCACTCCCTTGTCCTGTGAGGACAATATGAAGTGTTTCTCACTTTTAAAAATAACAAAAGTCACTAAAACTTAACGTCTATGTGTCCTCTTTGATCCTTGCTCCCAATCCCAAGAGTGACTTGGTGAATTCCTCCCAGACCTTTAAAACAGACAGAGCCCCCACTCCCCCCACGTTTTGTGTTTTAGACGTACGTGCTGTACTGTACACTGCTCTTCTGTGTCCGAGTGTGAGAGTCCCCCTCAGCCTCTTGCCCCTGCGAGCTTTTCCACGCAGAGATGGACCATAATGAAAAAATCCTCATTTACTTAACCGCTTGTACTGAAGGATGTTTAGACTTCTTTCCAAATTGACTGTTTTGCATGGGTCTGTTTCTGAGTTGTCTGCTGTCTTCCATTTAGTTCTTTGTCTACCTTTATGCCATTGTCATGCTGCCTTGATTACCGCAGCTTTATTAGAAATCTTGAAATTGTTTAGGGTAAATATGCCAACTTTGTCCTCCATTTTCAAAGTTATATAATAGGTTCTTTGCATTTCCATATGAATTTTAGAATCAGTTTGCCATTTTGTAAAAAAAAAAAAAATCACTTTAGGATTTTGATTGGGTTTGCATTGAATCTGTAAATCGACTTTGGGGGAATTGTCATCTAAAACAAGATTGCGTCTTCCAACCCATTGAGTCTATTTAGTTTTTCTTTAATAACACTAAGATAGGTTTTTTAGTATACTTCTTGCCCACATTTTGTTAGATTTATTCCTAAAGAGTTCATATTTTTGATGTTTCTGTAAATGGCATCTTTAAAATTTTAATTTCCAAGTTGCTGTCATACAGAAATAAAGTTGGTTTTTGTATATTGATCTTGCAAACTTACTAAATTCACTTATGTCAGTTCTAATAGCTTTTTTGTAGATACCATGGGATTTTCTACATAGATGACCACGTCTTTTGGGAATAAAGACATTTTTACTTCTTCCTTTCCAATCTGGACACTTTTTATATCTACTTCTTGTCTTACTGTGCTGACTAGAGCCTCTAGTACAGCTGAGTGGAAGCGGTGACAATGGGCCTTTCTGCCTTGTTCGTTGGGGAAAGCGGGCAGCCTTTCACCGGGCGTGTGATGTTGGCGTTTGTTGTGGTCAGTGCCCTTGGTCAGGATGAGGACGTTCCCTCTATCCCTAGCTTGCTGAGAGTTTAAATCAGAAATGGATATTGGATTTTATAAAATGCTTTTTTCTGCCTTTTATTGATAGGATCATAGGAGTTTTCTATTTTGGTCTATTATATTGATTGATTTTTCAGATGTTCAACTGACCTTACATTCCTGGGATAAAGTCTATTTGGTACATAAATATATGTTAGTTGATTTGATTTTCTGAAATTTTGTTAAATATCATTGCTCCAAAATAATAGTTTGAAGGGAATGAGGTAGACAGAGTTTGGGTATATTTTATTACTGATTTCCAATTTTATTTATTCATTATAGTCTTTGTTATAAGTTGAGATTTCTTTTGTGGCTCAGTAAGTGATCCTATTTATGTAAATTTTCTGTGTGTGCTTGATAGAAATGTCATCTCTCATTTTTGGATACAGGGTTCTAGACATGTCCTTCATATATATCAAGCATGCTAAGTGTGTTTATATCTTCTTATGTCTTCAGGCATTTTTGTCTGGTGTCACTCTTGAAAGATAGTTTCATTGGGTATAGAATTGTTTGTTGAATATGAACAACCCTTTGACAATATTATGCACCATCATCTTCTGGCTTCTGATTTTTCAAATAACACATGTTTATTTGGTCTAATTTGTTGTTCCTTTGTAGGCAATCATGTTTTTAACCTCTGGTTGTTTTCATTGTTTTGTTTTTAACTTTGGTGTTCTGTGATTCACTACAGTGTACCTAAGTATGGATATATTTTTAATTACCATGTTCAGGATTGGGAGTGCTCTCTTACTCTGAGGACTCATGCCTCTCTTCAATTTTGGAATATTCTCAACCATATCACTTTTCTGGAACTCTTACTAGAAGTATGTTGGACCTTTCTTTTTATCCTCTGTGTCTCTTCTGTGTCATATTTTATTTTTTGATGAAGCCTGAAAATGGCTAGTCTGTTTTTTTAATGTAAATTCTTTATTGTCTACAGTATTACATGTATCTCCTTTTCCCCCCATTGACCTCTCCCCAGCCGCTCCCACTCCCCATCTGTTTCATATTTTAAAGATTACTTTTATCTTGCATGCTGCATTCTGGATAATTTCCTTTGGCATGTTTTTAATTCACTATTTGTTTCTTTTTCTATGTTAAATTTATTGTTTAAACTACCTGTTTTTTAAAAATTTTAATTTAATTGTTGACAGTATTACAAATGTCTTTCATTTTCTCCCTTTTTGCCTCCCTCCACCCTATCTACTTGTTTTTTAAAAAATATAATGATTTGCTCTAGCCGGTTTAGCTCAGTGGATAGAGTGGATAGAGCCTGCTGACCGAAGGATCCCAGGTTCGATTCCAGTCAAGTTCGTGTACCTTGTTTGCAGGCTCCTCCCTGGCCCAGGCTCTGGTCGGGGCTCGTGCAGGAGGCAACTAATCAATGTGTTTCTCTCACATTGATGTTTCTCTCTGTCTCTCTCTCTTCTACTCTCTCTAAAAAAATAAAAATCAATGGAAAAATATTCTCAGGTGAGGATTAAAAAAATATATATATCCTATGTAATAAAGATGTAATATGCAAATGGTGTTATGCCGTGAAGTGTAACAACCGAATGCATAACGACTGGATCACGGATCAGCAGGAGGGTGGGGCAGTGAGCTACAAGCGGGTGGAGGAGAGCTACAGGAGGGGCAGGGCAGCAAGCTATGAGGGGGGGGTGGCGGTGAGGGGGAATAGAGGGAGCT